GATGCTGCCTGGCCTGCTGTGTTCCTCCAGCTCCACACTGTTATCTGACTCCAGCATCGGCACTCCTTCATCAAGGGAAGGGTTGTGCCACACAACTGTGTTAGAATTTAATGAAAAGATAATGAACAAGTTAGACAGAGAACAGCCAGTGGATGTGATCTATTTGGATTTCCGGAAGCCTGTGACAAGATGCCCCACAGGAAGCTCCTAAATAAGAAAACAGCCCATGTGTCACAGGCAAGATACTGGCAATGGATAGAGGACTATCTGATTGGCAGAAGGCAGACAGTGAAGGTTAAGGGGTCTTTTACAGGATGGCAGCCTGTGATTTGTGGAATTTTTCAAGGGTCAGTGTTGGGACCACAACTATTCATGTTATACGTTAACAATCTAGGCCAAAGAAGAACAAGTAGTGTTGAGGAGGCAGGGAGGCTGCAAAAGGACTGGATCAAACGAGGAGAGCGGGTAAAGAAGTGGTAAATGGAATACAACGTAGGAAAATGTGAGTGGTAGGAAGAATAGAGATGTAGTCTATTTTCCAAATGGGGAAAGGCTTTGAAAATCTGAGGCATAAAGGGACTTGACAGTCCTAATTCAGGATTCTCTTAAGGCAAACATGCAGGTTCAGCTGGCAGTTAAGAAGGAAGTTGGCAATGTTGGCATGCATTGTGAGATGGCTACAAAACAACAGCAGGAATGTTCTGCTGAGACTGTCTATGGCTCTGATCAGACCACATTTGCAATACTATGAGCAGTTTTGAGTCCCATATCCAAGGAAGGATATGCAGGAGTTGGAGAGGGTCCAGATGAGATTTACAATAATGATCCTGGGGATGAAGGGTTTGTCATATAGAACCGTTGAAATGATACAGCACAGATAGGGGCCATTTGGTCTTGAGGTTCATGACATCCTCAACACCGTGATGCTCCACAGTGAGTCCTCCCTCAGCTCCAGTTTTCTAAAGCAGTTAGCCAGTTATTGCAGCTGGCACACGTAGACATCAGTGACACTGAAAACATCCCTTATTTCCCACATTGTGCAACATGAGGACACCACACATCTGAGGTCATGACTTCTCTCTAGATGAAGCCAGTTTTCAGAGAATTTAATTAACTAGGGACCTTCCCTGTTTCAAACACCTATTATAATCAAAAGTCCCTCCCTTTATTTAAGCTAACATATTATACTTTAAAAACTGTACAGGAAATTCTGCGGATATCACCTACCAATTGGCTAGTTCCATTGGGCCCATATCACTTTTAAAACTGTCCAGATGAGATCGAGTGTGATGCTCAATCTTTCAGCTTCACCTAATTCCCTGTTTACACCTAATTTCAAAAGCACTCTCATTTAGCTAAAAAGCACTAACGTTCCCTCCTTTTTAAAAGGCCCCAAAAACAAATGTTTTGGAATTGGATCAGACTAGTTAAGCAGCTTCACCGAAGAGTGACTCAGCCGACTCCTGTTTCAGAAATGTGACTAAAACTACACCCAATATAACAGCGCATCTTTTAGTTACTAGATTAAAGAACTAATTTAGTTTGAAGATTAGCCCAGAAATTAAGTTTAATTACCAATTACCCCTTAAAACTCTATTTTCACCCAGCTGCCAAGTGGGGATTCTAGGATTGTCCTCAATGGAGGAGGAATTTGATTGAAAACTTATAGGAGACTGAGAAGCCTGGACAAAGTAGATCTGGAAAAGATGTTTCCACTAGTACCAGAGACCAGGACCAGAGGACACATCCTCAGGGGGGAGGGAACAGCCTTCAGAACCGAGATGAGGAGAAATAGCTTCAGACAGAGGGTGGTGACTTTGTGGAACTCATTGCTGCAGAAGGCTGTGGAGGCCAGATCATTGAATGTATTTAAGATGGAGATAGATAGGTTCTTGATTAGTAAGGGGATCAAAAGGCTGTCAGGAGAGAACAAAAGAATGGGATTGAGAAACATATCAGCCACGATCAAATGGCAGAGCAAACTCAATGGGGTGATTGCCTCATTCTGCTCCTATATCTTATGGAGATAACACTTTCTGATGCCAAAATGTCTGTAATGTTCTTAGTTCAATAATTAATCTGAAATTATCTTTCCCACAATCAAAGATCAATTTGTTTGCTTTCTTCTCCTTTTCAAAACAAGCTGCTGTACCAAATTAAATTTTTAACTTCAGCTCACAGTTCCAAAATTGAGAAAACTAAAAAAAATTTGATGGTCTCAACATCTCAAAAAAGTTCAAGTTAGTCAGTCACAGATCTGTACAGCATGCAAACAGACAAATGCTGACCAGATATCCTAAAAAAACTAGTTCCATTTGCCAGCTTTTGGCCCATAACCCTGTAAACCCTTTCTATTCACATACCTATCCAGATGCCTTTTAAATGTTGTAGAGAAAATGATTTGCCTTAAGCAAACTTATCCTGATTTTCTTTGATTAGCTGTGCCTCTCCAAAAAGGCAATCTATTTTAATCCAGATAATGGTACTCTCGACATTCTCAGCATTGATGTTGAGCAGACCTCCTGCTTTCTCCTTTTCCCCCCCTTTCTATGGTGAAAGTTTAGCGAACCCTCCAATTTTATGGCACTGCCCTGTATCCACATCACCTGGAATGGATGCCGGTATTAGCCAATAACTCTGCCAGGATGTACACGATTTAGACATTCATTTAGCAAGTTTTAGCAACGCTATTCTTCTTAGTATGGCTTTTTAAATAAGTTCACTCACAGGATGTGGGCATTACTGGCTAGGCCAGCATTTATTGACCATCCCTAGTTATCCTTGAGAAGGACCTTTTGATTACGATCTTGTCTATACATCCTTTTTTCTCTTTAAGTGCATCCTCGTGAAGACTGATGCCATGTACTCAAACCCTCTGCCTTTATCAGAAGATAGTTTTTTGGGTACTCAATAAACCTCAACATCCCCCTTGCTAATTACTTACACTTGTACGTTGTACATTCTTGGCATTTTGGTGGAATTCAAACCTATGTCTCCTAACACAGCACTAGCCTCTGTCTCTGGTCTACTACACTACTGTCTCTCCCTACCTTAAAACAGTGTAAAGAAAATGCAATATTATAAAAATATCGTACCTTGTCAATGAAATATAGTGCCACTGCTCGTTGCCGTGTTTTCATTTCCCTTGATTTCCAGTCTACATGATATTGATTCCTGATTGCATCGATTTTTTCTTTCAGGCGCCGAGCGACTTCATACTTCTGCCAGTCCTTCTCACCCTGTGAGTATTAATAGACATAAATACAAAGTCCATTCTGTTCATCAATTAATTGTTCGATACATCATTTCATTGTATTCCAGAGTAAAAGAAAATGAGCTCAGAGCACGTCATCCTCCATAATTCAATGAGGGTTGTGGAACAAAAACAAAAAGCAATTCTCAAACTGAATCTCAAATTGGACTGGAAATAGCTAATCGAAGTCATAATTCTGTAAGAATATTACAAATCAGAATGCCTAAGCCATACGCATGAGGGGGATAGCCATTTTTGAGGCTGTCAATAGATTCCTGCTTTAAAACATGCGGGTTTAAGGAATCATCAAGCTTAGATTTGACGCTCCTTGGTCAAAAGCCTTATAAATAGTTTAGATTCACACAAAAAGGTTATTACCTGCACAAATCAATCCCATTCTCCATCAATTATGAATCAGTCCCTATAGAAGATACTTGGTAGCACCCATTGCCCTCAAACTGTATGACTACTTCACTTCCCAACATGTTAATTATGAGGGGAGAAAAGAATTGAAAAGCTGAACAGAGGAGGATAGAAGTGCAGTTTGATTTCACAAAAAAAAAATCTGTCAAAGGATGGGGAGGAAAATGTGACTATAATAATTTTGCAGTTCCTAAACTTCAATTTTTTTTTTTTTTTTTAAAACGATTGAACTAGTGAAGATAACATTTTTGCTTTAAAATCTGTGACTTAAAACACCTTTAAGTTTTCAAAGTCATTTTCAGTTGGACAATACACTGAACCATCCCAAAGAATTGAATTGGGCTATCTAGGCAATCAATCACAAAGGGAGACATTTGAAATTTGGTCAAAACAATGAGTTCTAAAAAAAAATGTATGAATTTAAAGGTTCTGACAACACAAAAGACATGAAATGATCTTAATGAAATTAAGTCATTTGCATGGTGGAAGTCATTTGAAGTGAACAAACCAGCCTTTTGCTTAAGCAATAAAAAGACACAGAATCCCTAGAGCAAAAAGGAAAACTTAAGTACAAGTCCAGACACAACCACTGATCTAGTGATGAAGAAACATTTCAAGCTCTCAAAACTGCCGAGTCCACCCACGTACATCAAAATAAGAGGAGTCCTTCAGCATACTCTACCAGTACAAGGCTAATCCAATTATTCCACATTACCACCTAGCCCGCGTAAGTTTGCTCATCAACAATCGACTTCCTCTGCCTCAAATATATTCAAGGACCTTGCTTCCAATGCTTTGAGGAAGAGGATTCTAAAGAGTAATGACTCATAGGGAGAAAAAAAAAAATTCACCTCAGACTGAAACATGAAGTCTTATTTTAAAGGGACTCCTAGTTCTCGATTCTCTCAAGAGGAAACATCCTTTACACATGGACCATATTAAGACTCCTTAGAATGTTTTATGCTTCAAAACAATTTGCTCCTTACTCTACTGAACTCCAACAGATTCAGGACCAGGAGCAATGGCCTAGTGGCATCATCACTAGAGAATTAATCCAGAGGCACAGGGGACTCAGGTTCGAATCCCAGCATGTCAAAATGGTGGAGTTTGGATTCAATAAAAATCTGGAATTAAGAGTTTAATGACAACCATGAGACCATTGCCATTTGTCAGGAAAATCTGATTCAATAACGTCCTTTTAGGGAAGGTAACTGCATTCTTCCCTGGGCTGATCTGCATGTGATTCCAGAATCCACAGCAATATGGTTAAGTATTAACTATCCTGGGCAATTTGAGCTGGACAATAACAGATGGCCTAGCCAGCGACAGCTACATCCAATGAATTAAAAAAAATCCTAGCCTGTCTACCCTTTCCTTATAGGCAGACCAATCATTGCTGGGTATTCGTCCAGCGAACATTTTCTGATCTCCAACATCCATGGTGCTCTCATTTTATTTGACTGTTTTCAGATATTGGCTTACTCTTATCACAAAACCGTATGAAGTTTTCTCTCTGATATTTATTTACCTTAGTCTGAAAAACAGCAAATATTGTTCCATGGATGAGAAACATCAATTATGGAGATTGGGAAGGTTGGGACGGTTCTCAGTGGGGAGAAACAAAGAGGAGATATGATGCAAGTTTTAAAAATCATAACAGGCATGAATAGAGTAGATAGGGAGAAACTGTTCCTGCTTGTAAGAAGGATTGAGAACAAAGAAGCACAAATTTAAAGTGATTTGCAAATGTAGTGAGGGAAAACATTTTCATGAGTGGTTTCTGGAATGCACTACCTGAAAGTGAGGTAAAGTTATGAGGCTATCAAGAGGGCATTAGGTGATTATTTGAATAAAAACAAGGTGCAAAGGTAGGTGGATAAAGCAGGAGAACAGGAACGTTATAATGTTCATTGGAGAGATGAAGCTGACACAAATGAGCTGAATGGCCTCCTTCTGAACGGTAACAATTCCGTAATACTGAACTTTGCTTCTAATGACAGTTCTTAATAAGGCAACAGGAATTTCTAAGCACCCCATGGTAAGATAAATTCTCCTATACTTGTTATTCTGTGTCCTTTAGTCATTAACACCACCCTACCTATTCATCATACTACAAATTTTCAATCTGGTCCCAAACCACAAGACAGATTAAGTAAACAGTAGTTGGGTTTTTAAAATTAATTTACAGGATGAGGGTGTCACTGCCTAGGCCAGCATTTATTACCCATTGACAATTGCCCACAGGGCAGTTAAGAGTGAAGCGCATTGCTGTGGGTCTGGAGTCACAAGTAGACCAGACCAGGTCAGGATGACAGGTTTCCTCCGTAAAAGGAACAAAATCAAAGTTGCTGGGAATGCTCAGCAGGTCTGGCAGCATCTGTGAACGAAAAAACAGAGTTAACATTTCAAATCTGGTGATCCTTCCTCAGAACTGAAAGGCCTAAAGGCCATTAGTGAACCAGATGAGGTTTTCTGACAAGCTACTAAACTCGTTTTTGAAAGCCTTGGAGATAGTAAAGAACTGCGGATGCTGGAGTCAGAGACACACAGAATGGAGCTGGAGGAACACAGCAGGCCAGGCAGAATCAGTGGAGTAGGAAAGCTGATGTTTCTTTCCTGCTCCTCTGATGCTGCCTGCCCTGCTGTGTTCCTCCAGCTCCATATTGTGTTGTTTTTGAAAACCTCCTTGTGTCAGGAAAGCAAGATGAAGGGAAACGATTCTACGCATTTCTGGTCAAGAAAGAACAAGTTAAAGAACAAGATAGAGCAATAAATCTTGTGCCTCTTACATCAAGAAGAAACTGACAGACACTCACGGAATACAGACCTTAAGTTTTGAGCTTGGATTGAGCATGACGTACTTAAGTAACCCCTGAACATTTTCTGTCCATGATGCCAACCAGGTCACTTTATTATCAAACCGTACTTCCTTCCAATGGTGATTTTCTGGAGGTTTTGGAACATTGGAATCTCTGAATAAGACAAGATTATTTTATAACAACAGTCAAAAAAGACACGTTGAACAAGTTAGACTATCTCAAATTAAATGAGCTAAGACCGACAATGAAAACTCAGCAAACCAGTTACTATGCAAAAGTGACAGTTAACCTCCTGCAACGTAAATTGGAATTATGGGCAGAAGGTCCTTTTTACATTTGCTCCGTCACTCGATAAGATAATGGCTGATCAGACTGCGGTCTCAAATCCACTTTCCTGTCATAGCCAATAACCCTTGACTATCAAAAATCAAACTCAGTTTTAAATAAATTCAGTAACATTCCCTTTGTTTCTCTTTGCAGTAGAGAACTCCACATGACTAAAAAAAAATTCTCATGTCTTAAAAAAGAAAACACAATTTTTAAATTTTATTTACAACATATCCTGAGTTAAGATGTTTTAAAGTTTGCTGCAAATAATAGTTTAATACCAGGTTACTTTGACACTGAACTATAAAACCATTATCTCAGAAGCATGGATGCACTATGTATGTAACCACTGGTTCAGACAACGCTCATGAACCCAGCATTTAAAGATATTGGGAACCAGTCTGTCCTAAGCTGCATTGAAATCCAGCTTCAAATTGCCCTGTAACCCCTATCGGAAGCTTTGCAATTTGATTCCATATTCACTTTGGCAATGACATTAAACTAATGTGCAACAATTAGACTTGATCGTACTCTTTATAATTAACATTTTGGGAGCACATGGTCAGTTGAGTTACCTTAATAGAAGGAGAGAGAAGGAAACAAGAAAAGAAAACTAGAGACTATAAATATGTCATTACATCAAGCTGAGCTAAAAGTAAACCAGAATGAAGCAATGCAACCCAGTCCCAGAGTCCACCAATTCCCAAAGTTTTTCTTTTAAATCACTATAAGCAGGTGACCAAGGTTAGGTTTTGCTTCAGCAGGAAGGTTCTCGATTATTGTTAAATATAAGCAGTTAGCCCAAGAAAAATCAAACTCAAAACATACTGGGGAAATTATTACTATTGGGAAGAAGAAAATGTGGCAGATTTATGAGGGAACCTAAAGGATAGAAACCAGATCTGTTTGCTCTTGATATTTTATCTCATACATCATGTGCACTTGTTTACCTGCTGCAATTGATAATGACATCTTCAGGCATGATCCTTTTCTTTAGTTTTCCCATCTTTGGATGGTCGCCACGTCCACGAAACAGCCCTGGAGGCTCAATCTTGAAGTTTGCAATTCTTTCCCGATGGCCATCCATTATACAGTAGCCATACATCTCAGTAATTGCATCTTGTTCTAATTTTAGTTTCTGCAGGAAAAGACGGAATTTTACTAGATAGTTCCAAGTTCCAAACACCTATTTTCTTCCATTCCCGTGAGTATATGGATACACAGGCGGCTCAGAGTTTCTGTTATGTATGTTGGAGTCAAGACAACAAGTATTTCCAGAGTATTTGGTTGTGGGCGTGTCTGGACTCAAAAGTTACCATTTCAAGTAAGGCAGTATTCACAGCAAAGACCCTGGACATTTTTCCCTTTTATAGTCCTGGATTGTACAGATTAATTGTAGTTTCCCTATTGCAGCAAGGCTATAGGAGCCTTGTGCTTGATTGTAATTTTCTAATGAATTTTTAGATTTGAATTAATGAAGTGATGACTTTATTTTCTGCTTTGTCGCCTTCATTGATATACCATAAATTTGGTCTGCTTTCCTTCATCAGGTATCATACAGGTCTACAGCACAGAAAACAGCCCTTCTTCTATCGACTCTGCACCAGTCAAAAAAAAATCTAAATATACTTATCCCATTGCCAAGTTTGCATTTGCAGCGCAAGTCTACACCCGTATATTTCTTAAATGTTATGAAGGTTGTTGCATATTTCACTCTTGCAAGCAGCGAGTTCCAGATTCCCACCACACATCCGCTCAATCTCCTGCTCCATACCTTAACTTATGCCACCTGGTCATTGTTCACTCCATCAAGGAAAACAATTTATTTGTTAGCTATCCTATGGCCCAGCATAATTTTATACATTTCGAACATCTACTTAGCCTCCTCTGTTCCAAGGAGGACAAGCCCAGTCTATCTAATATCTCTTCATAACAAACTCTCCAGCCCAGTCAACATCCTAGTAAATTTCTGCAATCACATCCCTTCAATGATGTTGATTCCAGAAGTGCACACAATACTCTACTTGTTGCCAAATCAACCTTTTCTACATAGCCTGCCTGCCCTTAAATTCTACCCTTCAGCTAATAATGACAAGTATCTCACATGCCTTTTTAACCACTTTATTTACCTGTCCTGCTACCTTAAGGAACCAGTGAACATTGAATAGAATCCCTACAGTGGGGAAACAGGCCACTTGCTTATCAAATCCACACCAACCCTCTGAATAGCATCCCACCCACACCCTACCCCATCCCTGTAAAGCTGCATTTCCCATGGCTAACCCACCTAGCCTGCACATCCCCGAACACTACGGGCAATTTAGCATGGCCACTCCACATAACCTACACATCTTCTGACATGGGAGAAACTCTGAGTACCTGAAGAAAACCCACGCAGACACAGGGAGAATGTGCAAACTTCGTACAGACAGACAGTCACCAGAGGCTGGATTTGAACCGGGGTCCCTGTCTCTGAGGCAGCAGTAGTGCTGCAAAAGAGATGAACTTCAGAAGGGAGGCAAGAATGACTGCTTGGAATTTCAAGGCAGCCTTGACCAAATATGGCATCAAGTATCCCCAATGAGAATAGGTATAAAAGGCTCTCAGCTGCAGTTCTAATGACACTCAAGAGGCTCGACACAATCCCAGAACAAAGTAGCCACCTAATCTGAACACCATCCACTGATGCACAGTAGCAGCAGCAGCCTATACAATCTACACAATGAACTGGAACAACTCTAGATTCCTTTGACAGCACCTTCCAACCCATGATCTCCATCATCTCGAAGGTCAAAAGCAGATGCATCTGAACACCAGCTACAAGTTCCACTGCAAGCCACATACCATCTTGACTTGGAACTACATCACCTTTACTATGGTGATTATCAATTGGCAATAAAATACTGTCCTAGACACAACCATGAATGAACAAAAACTAAAACTGCATTTCCACGATTACCATGGGGTTCCATTTGCTCTTAAGGAGCAACTTTAAGTCACATAATTGTGTGAGCAAGAAATTCAATCTTTTTTTCAATTCTTTCATCAAACTCAACAACATCAGTAATAACCCAGCATAAATTGAAATGTGGCTTTTGAGCTGAACAGCAATTATGGTGATAAAATGATTCTTAGACACTAAGCACTCAAAGTGAAAAAGCAGATGTATAGCTTGTTCCAGTAAACAATATTAAAAACAGATTCCCAAGAACATCCTACTGAATAATCAGTGCATAATATATTTTAATACCAACAGTCTGGTCTGGACAGACACTCAGTGATCTCATTTCTACAAACGACGACACATTCCATCAAGGTATCCCTGGCTTCCAAGCTGATCTTTCTGTAAAAGATTTCAGCTCCTCTGTGACAGGGGTAAATGGATGCTGTCTAGGGCTATTTGGTCATGACAATAACCTCCTCCATTCGTAAAATTAGATTACATGAAGGTGTTAACCCTGTGGCATCCTAAATTCCAGTCCTCTTTCTTTCTTTAAATAGTTTCAGTCCCATTTTAAGCAGTGTAAAAACCTCAAAACTCTGTATTGTTGGAAGTTTACCAGTGGAGATTATCCTCCAAATAATGTAAAATTGAGACTGCTTGATGTATGAACAAAAGACTCGGTGATCCAGTTGCCTGTTACTTCAACACACCATCCTGTTATCTGGCCAACATCTGTCACAGGCTTGCTGCAACGTTTCAGTGAAACTCAGCGTAAGCCGGAAGGATAGCACCTTATTTTCCGCTTGGGAACAATGCGGACTTCTGAAACTTTACAACTGTAGGGCTTGAGCTCTCTCATATCCTTATGACCCCCACACAGTGGGCCTTATTATAGTCTGCTATTACACACAACCCATTTTTAGCCACTAACCGTCCCCATTAATAACTATTCACCCTGCTAGCCAGATCATTATCCACTCCCTTGTCTGTCCAACTCTTCTTCTCTCCCTTTGGGCTCTATCCCCACCTATTGTTTACTCCTTCCCCACCCTATCTTCTATATATAAATCAACATTTTCCTAGCTACCATCAGTTCTGAGGAAGGGTCACTTGACTCTAAAAGTTAACTTCAATTTCTCCCCACAGATACTGCCAGACCTGCTGAGCTTTTCCAGCAATTTCTATTGTTGCACCCAGTGTTAAACAATGACTTAAAATACTTCACAACAATTTGCAGAGCAAAGATTCCTTGGATCTGCACCTCAAAGCAACCCCTAATAAACTGGTATGACATTTTGGCATTTCTTATGCCAATCATTCGCTCAGGGAAATTCCCCTCAATGGAATTGGCGAATAATATTTGACACTTGTTACAGCTTGTGATGTCAGCCTATGAAAAGAAGAGAACTGGGCTGAGAATACGCAAGTCTGACAGATTTTTAAAAACAAAGTCAATTAGATAAAAGAATGGAAAGCAGTTTCCATCTCAAACAATCTCCAAAACGAGATACTGAAATCTAACGTTTCATTTGCTGAACACTGCACATTTTTCACCAATTCTGCATTGTTTGCTGAAGTGCAGTTTACTGCACAGGTTGACAACAGCAAAAAGTAAATTAAATATTAGAAAACTCAACAGATCTGACAGCATTGGTGCAGAGAGAAAGAGTTAACATTTTGAGTCAAAGATGATTCATCTTTAGAACTGAAAGGCAGGCTGGAAAAGATGACAACTCATCATCATTGTTCTTAGGTTGTTGGCAAAGAGAACGGAGGTAATGGTGAAGATGCCCAGAGAAAAAGATAAAAGGTAATGCTAATGGTAGTGAAAGAGAGACTGAGATGAAAATTGGTTGTTACTGGTTGTGAATAGTAGAAAATAGTGATAGCTATACTGCAAAGTACCCTTGCTGGGACAAAATCCTGGAAATCTCTCCCTAACAGCACTGTGGGTCTACCTACACATGGACTGCAGTGGTTCAAGAAGGTAGCTCACTACCACCTTCTCAAGGTTGTTTATGGATAGGCAATAACATCCACCTCCCACAAGTGAATAAAAAAGAAAACCCTTAGCCATAGAAACAATGTGAATATTAACCAGCTGTGGTTATACGTTGACAAGGATGGAGCATGGGTAGTTTAGGAAGAAATGTTTATTCATTAAAATTATGTCTTGTACAATACTTGCTCTGAAATGAAGGAAATTCCAGTTTCCAAGAGGAAGCTGCCCTTTGGGTCTCATTATGCATCAAACTGCTTCAAAATTAATCCCTAAGAATACTGTGGAATTAGGAATAGGTGTCCATACAAGCTCATAACAATAGAAGCAGCCATTTCACCCAGTGCTGGATTCTGACAGAGGAATTCAAATTGATCTTACTAACATACTCTGTCCCCTTGCCTCTATCTTAAGAGTTTTCTCACAACTGATCTTTGAGTAACAATACTAGTTAGTCTTTTTTCTCTTGCTCTCTCTTCCAAGGAAAAGGTGTTATTTTGGTTTATTTCCAATCATGGCACAAGTTCCATGGAAATAAGACTTTAGTCTTTAAGATCTGGATGTTTACCACTTTTTGGCTTTTTTATTATCTTTTCAGTTTTTAAAAAAAATTCTGGTTTTATGACCAAGATAGTACCGAAGAATGGCGACTTTGTCCACTTTTCACTGTACTTGTGTATTCCTATCCTTGAGTACACGTGACAATGAAATCTAATTCCAGTTTTAACAAAGGGGCAGGTTTGTGCTTAAAATGTTATTGTGAACAGTTTGCTGGCATTCACTATCTCTACTCTCAAATAAAGGTTGATGATTTTGGTGAGCTACCAGTACCTGTTAGATTGTACTCTAGCATGCAATGACTCGAGGGGACAAGAGGTCAATTTAAAAAAGCCTTCTATTTAAAATATTTTCTCACCTGTTTCTCCTCCTTGGGCAATGCTTTCTTGGCCTCCGCTTTTTCAGTGAAGTATTGATGCAGTTGTGTGAAATCACATTTATCTAGATCAGTGATTATCGTTTTCTCTTGCTCATTCATTTCCTGCACTCAAGAGGAAGGCCGCAAATAGTGAATGGGTTAAGTTATATTAACACAGAATTTATCGCTCAGAGCGGTTCACGAACTTCCATTTTTGCTGGTATCAGAACTTATATGAAGCTGTACTTTCGCATCAAATCATTCTGCATATGGTAGTACACAAAATTAGAGCTGTCAGAGAAAAATCTGAATATTTTGATGACAATAATCTGGAAAGTCTCTCTCCAATCCTGTCGGAAAAGTAAAACTTGAACAGGAGTCCATATTGGTTGCAAACAAAACCTTTTATTTTACACATAGAACCATAGGACACTGGAGCAGAAGTAGGCCATTCAGTCCTTTGAGTCTGCTCTGATCTGATAATTCTCAAATCCAATTCTGGCCTTTTCCCCTATAACCCTTGATTCCATTACTGATTAAAATCTGTCTCTCACAACTGTGAATATACTTATAAACCTAGCCTTAACAGTCCTCTGCAGTTAAGAATTCCACAGATTCACTATGCTCAGAAGGAATTTCTCCTCAGCTTGGTCTTAAAGGTGCGGTCCCTTATTTTGACATTAAGCCGTCTTCCATAAGGGGAAACAATCTTTCCACATCTAACCCGTCAAGTCCCTGACTCGTTTGTCTTTTGCATCTTTTATAAGATGTGATCTCGGAGTCAGAAATGATCTAGCGCTTTGAAATTATGCAAAGTCATTGATCGCATAAGCAGGCAACTTATTCCGTTTGCTCAAAGGCAGAGCTAAATGTGACCTAATCCTACCTTTGCATAACATTTATGCATCATTCCAGTTCTTCTATAATCCCTCAGTAGAAATATATATTGTGTCACTACAGTCATGATCTAAGTAATATATGACAATGAATGATAGTTATCTAATTGCACAGTGGGGTGTAATTCATCTAAATAAGATGCACTTAAATTAACCTAAACAAGCTATTTTATTTGTTTTACCCTCAGCGCAAATGGAGTTAAGAACAGCACATAATTAAGAAAGTAACTAGAATTTTGATGTATATTCCAAAGGGGTTGCAGTTTAAAACCAGAGAAGTCTCGTTACATCTATACAAGGCATTGGTGAGGCTGCATCTGGAGTACTAGTCAATACAATGTGGAGCTGGAGGAACACGGCAGGTCAGGCAGCAGAGGAGCATGAAAGTCGAAGTTTCAGGTTTACACACTTCATCGGGAATAAATATGAAATGTTGACTTTCCTGCTCCTCTGATGCTGCCTGACCCGCTATGTTCCTCCAGCTCCACGCTGTATTGACTTTGACTCCAGCATCTGCAGTTCTTGCTATCTCCCTGCACCTGGGAGAACTATTCAGTAATAGTCCCAATATTTAAAAATGGATATATCAACATTGAAAAAAATTCACTAGGTTGTTTCTGGAATAAAGGGATTGAAGGCTGAACAGGTTAATCTTTATTTGTTAGAGTTTTGAAGAGTGAAGAGGGTGATTGTATTGAAACATACAAGAATCTGAGGGAGATAATTTCACTGAACAACCTCATCAATCTCTGTGGCCACCAAAGCCCGACTCTGGAATCTTCGTTTCTCTTGGTCTTCCCAAGACAAAAATACAATAGGTAGTGGCCTTTTCAAAGGAGACAGGTCTGTCAGATTAGGAAGTTTCTCGACACAACCTTCCTGTCTCCTCTACTTCTTTGCATAGACGAGTTGGAATTAGAAATTCCAACATGGCAGATGGTGAAATCTGGAATTAAAATCTAACCTAAACAGTGACCACTGTTAATTGTTTCCTATTTTGATTATGTATTATTCCCTATTATTATTTAATGAATAACCATCTTCAAAATGACATCAGCTTCATTAGATACACCAATATCATCACGCTGTGGAGAAAATCACCAATAACCTTCATTGGACCAATCAATCTAACAAGGTTTTAAAATAACCAAGTACAGCGGAGTCAAAATATTTTCAGCGATTTCCCTCTTTGAATATTCAAAGGCATCTCCACCATAATATAGACTTGAACTTTTATAAATATTGAATACACTCACTCCTCACTTAGATGGGTGCAGTTACCAACACTCATTATAAAACACCATCCAGGACAAAACAGTTCAGGAGCTAATATTCATACTCCTAACACACCACTAGCATTGCAATTTGGGTAGAATAGGTGCTAAACAAAAAAGGTTGCACTACAACAATTTCTTAATCTCAATTTGACAGCATTTCAAACCCTTCACCTTTAACACCAAAACTGTCAAATCATGAGAATGAATCTACTTATAAGGTCCCTCTAATTCATATACCATTGCTACCTTCATTACTAGGTCAAAAGGATGCTTACCCCATGCACAGAGGAAAAGAAGCGGGCCATAGCACTCTTGAACTTGTTCTACTATTCAATGAGATCACAGCTGATCAGTGACTAAACTCCACAAAGCTATCTTTTATATTATATACCTTGGTGACTTGATCAATAATACCTTAAATTATTCAATTAAACCGAAGGTTACCTAAAATTGCCATCTGCAGAAGGGAATTCCAAACTTCTGCTATCTTCACCTATCATTTATTACAGGATTATGTGCAGTGGCTTAAGAAGGCCTATTACTGTACCTACTCAAGTTAACTAGGTATGGACAATGAAAACAGCTTACAGCCTTGTCCGTATCCTAAGAATAAATGATTAAATAGAGTGCAAATTACAATTCATATTGTGGTTTATGCTGGACCAGCTCAGATTCAGTTCAGGGAGCGCTAAAATACACACAAGATGTATCAGCACTTGCAGAAATAACCACAGGTGCAAAGTGAGCTGTGCAAAGTTCTGCTCACGTTTCTAAACCTGCAGTGTTAATTCGCCTTTTCACTAATGCAACAGATTTACAGGATTTTCTGTTTTAATTTCACATATGCACTTCTTTTCTGTTGAATTACACTCATCCTGCTAAAAAGTTGATATTCAAGGAAATTGACTGCGTCATCAAATTAAGAATATGTAAATCACTTAGTCATTTCCATTTGGACTTTAAACTGCTGAACTCTCTCTCCATTCTTCTAATCTACAGTCTTTTAAAGTCCAAACTTTGCAATACCTAATTAATAATTTGTAAGTTAGTCATTGTCTTTGATTCTGCTCTTCAATTTTGGTTTTACCCTTTCTAAATTAAAAGTAACACAAACCTTCCGCCAGTCGTGAAAAAAGTTTTGCCTGAAGACATCCTTTGTAGTGTACTCATGATCCAGCATCTTAGCGTAGAAGGTAGCCACCTCTTCTGCTGCCAGGCTTAACTTCATAGGATTACCTACACAAAAACCAAATTTACCAAACAAGCTATCAAATATAGAGAGGGTAAAGAGAACCTGCAGCAAACTTAACAAATTTTAAATAAAATATTGGGCTGGCTGTGTATTTTCATCAACATCAAAATATGGAAAAGGAAAATGGAGGTTACTGTTTATAAGCTTTGCCAGCACTACAAATTGTTTTTATTTTAAGTTTTTATAACCAAATTGCTAGAAATATTCAGGAAGTCCAACTGCATCTGTGGTGTTACTGACAAAGGGTCATTATCTGGAAATGCCAATTCCTTTTCTCTCTCCCTAAATTATACCAGATTGTGGAGCATTTTAATATTTCCTGTTTCAATCTCTGATTTCCACCATCTACAGTAGTCTGTTCTTAAAAAGTTAACTTCTCTTTTCAGTTGTTGTCTTACCTCTATGCACAAATTAAGCTTCCTAACTATTTATTCGAAAAAGTAAAGGGGTAGAAATAATTACAACCTTAATCTTTTGCTTAGTGTAAAAGGTTGAGCTGAAGAAATCCTCTCATTTTGTGCTGCAACAACAGCGAGTTTACAGTTACAATCAATCCAATTCAATTGATTATTACACATTAGCTTGTGTGCTGAAATCGAAGTTAACTTCAAAACTTGTTATGAGCCGCATTATTTTTCAGAAAAAGTATAATTTAGTTCACTCTGTAAAACTTGTAAACGACCCAGGAGGACGAGATGTTAAGTCCTGCTTTGGAATAAAGCACAGTATGTAAACCAACACTCTCATCCAGTTGTGAAAGTATGTTGTACTACTGAAGTCAGAGATAGCAAGAACTGCCAATTCTGGAGTCCGAGATAACAGTGTGGAGGAGGAGCACAGCAGGCCAGGCAGCATCAGAGGAGCAGGAAAGTTGACGTTTTAGGTCGGGACCCTTCTTCAGAAATGGGGGAGGAACATCTGGATTACGAAGATACCTACTACTGAAGTGCTACATTTTAAGGTGAGAAGTTAAATGAAGCATCCCTATCTTGTTACAATCTCAGTAGATAAAAAGATAGGTGAATTCCCAGTGACCTATTTAAAGGAATCACAAAACACTATTTTAAGTTAAATCTTTCACTACAACAAACTAAATTCAACATTAACTAAACATTATTTAATAGGCAACTAATACTCTAAACTGCAGAAAAGTTATCCCTCATCAGATACTTAAAATTCCATTCAACATTCATAGATTCATTATACCACGCTCTCAGCAGAAATATACTCATTTGTAAAGTCCCAAATTCTCTCAGCATTTCACCAGACTGTCTTCTCCCTATTGCACTGGTGGAAATTTGCCAGACTACCTTTAAAAACAGTTCATGGATTAACCAGGAGGTACATTGTCTACTGAAGTCCAGGTGTGCGGCATTCAAGTCAAATGACACCAACACTAACAGGAAATCCAGATACGACCTTTGTAAGGCCATTAGAAATGCCAAGAGCCAATACCAGACTAAGCTAGAGACCCAAACTATCCACACAGACACCTGCCATTTGTGTCAAGGCCTAGATGACGTAACGGGCTACAAAGCGAGGAAAACAGAATAGCAGACAGCTAGGTATGGCAACTGCTCTGCCCAGGACCTTAAGAAACTACAAAGAGTTGATAACACAGCCCAGTCATCACACAAGCCAACCTTCCATCCACTGACTCCATCTATATTTCTCACGGCCTCAGGAAGGCAGCCAACATAATCAAAGATCCTCCCACCAGAAGATACAAATGCTTAAACAAACGAACCAACAGATTCAAGTTCGGAGATAACAAGGTGTAGAGCTGGATGAACACAGCAGGCCAAGCAGCATCAGAGGAGCAGGATTCTTCCCCACTGTTTTTGAATTTTTAATGAACCTCTCATATTTTAAATTTAATGTTGACCTCACTCTTTGTGCGCCTTCTCTGCAGCCGTAACACACTATTCCTTCCTCTGTTCTATTATCCCTTTGCATATTGTATGGTATGCCTGTACTGCATGCAAAACAAAAAAAAACTTTTCATTTTACCTAGGTACAAGTGGCAATAGTAAATCAAATCAATTCCTTGCAATCAATCCTCCCTAACATAATCTACAAGGCACCCACTGGCAACTTGTGTTTTTAAATTTCTGCAAAGGTCACCTCTTCATAATGGAAACCTGTTCTTGCCAGTGTTCTGCTTTCAAGCCCTAATTACACAGCATTTTGCATACACACTATCTTTTTGACAGCTAGATTCAGAGATCCTTGAGAAAACCTGTAAGTCTTTGCATAGTAAAGTCAGCTTCCCTGCTCTAGTTAAAACTATCACATGACCTTCCATAAAATTCAATTTTGGTACCATGTTCCAATGGCAGCTCGGTCACATACACTTAGAAACAAAAACAGAAATTGCTGGAAAGAACTCAGGTCTGGAAGCACCTATGGAGAGAAAGCAGAATTAATGTTTTTGCTCCAGTGAATCCTTCTTTAGAACTGATCGTAAAGAGGAAAAGGTTGGCATATGTGGTGAGGATCAAGTATAAATGATAGGTGGAGAAGGAGCCCAGAGAGAAAAAGGGCAGTATGGTGGCTCAGTGGTCAGCACCGCTGCCCCACAGCACCAGGGATCTGGGTTCGATTTCACCTGCAGACAATTGTGTGGTGTTTGCACATTTTCCCTGTGTCTGCATGGGTCTCCTTCGGTTTCCTCTCAGTCCAAAGATTGAGGTTAGGTGGACTGGCCATGCTAAATTGCCCATAATGTCCAGGGATGTGCATGCTAGGTGGGCCGTTAGCCATGGGAAATCCAGGGTTATTAGGGTAGGGGGGTGGGTATGGTGGGATGCTCTTCGGAGGGTCGAATACCCTGCTTCCACACTATAGAGATTCTACGAAAAACAGTTGGGCAGACAAAGAAATGGGTAAATGTCAGTCTGAGAGAATTAATTGCTTCTCAGGAGATCCATTAGTGTCTGACAACAGGTGGTTGGTGGAGATGCCCAAGTGATGACAAGGTCTGGTAAGCGGAGGCGAGGTAAGGACACAGGAGGAGGTGCTCAAGTCCTAAAATTATTGAACTCGATACTGAAACATGACGGCTGTAGGGTTCCCAACAGGAAAACGAGATGCTGTCCTTCTAGCTTACACTGAACTTCAGTACAGCACAGCAGCAAGCCCGAGACAGATGTTGGCCAGGGAATGCAGTGGTGTGTTAAGTGGCAGGCAACAGGAAGCTCAGGGTCATTTCTGCAGACATAACGTAGCTGTTCAGCAAAGTGGTCACCCAGTCTGCACTGTCTCTCCCAAACGTAGAGGGGTCTACATCCACGAGTAGCAAATACTCTAGACTAGATTGAGTGAAGTGCAGGTAAATGGCTGGATCACCTGGAAGATGTGTCTGGTGCCTTGAATAGTGAGGAGGGAGGAAGTAAACGGGCAAGTGTTGCAACTTTTGTGATTGCATGGAAAGGTGCTGTGGGAGTGGGGACCGTGTTAGGAGTGGAGGGGGAATGGGCCAAGGTGTACCACAGGGAACAATCCCTGCAGAAGGCTGACAAGAGATGTGATGGGGTGGGGAATACATTTCTGGTGATGGCATTCTGCTGGAAGTTGCAAAACCAGCAACTAATGATCCTTTGGATGTGAATGCTAGTGGGGTGGTAAGTGAAGACTGGGGGACACTAATCGCTCTTGTGGGAGGAATGAGAAGGGGTAAGGCTGAAGTGCAGAAGATAGGTTGGAGGGCCCCGTCAACCATAGTGGTAGGAAATCCTCAGTTGAGGAAAAAGCTGGATATTTCAGTGGCCCCCTTGTAGAAGATGGCATCATCAGAACAGATGCAACAGAGCCTGGGAGAATGGAAGGCTCTTTACGGGAGGCAGGGTAAGGATGTATAGTCAAAAGTAACTATGGGAGTTAGCGAGTTTGTACTTGATATTGGTAGCCAGTCTATCCCCAGAAATGGGAACAGATATTGAGCAAAGGAAGGGAGGAGTCAGAGATGGACCGAGTGAAGGTGAGAGCAGGGTGGAAATTGGAACTGAAATTGATCAACTTTTCTAATTCTTGATGAGAGGGGGAAGCAGCACCGATGACATCATTCATATCTGAAGAAAGAGTTATATATGGCCTTGACCACTTTCAGTAGTGGAGAAAATTCCACATGCTCACCACTCTCTGGCTAAAGGCATATTTCCTCAAAGGAAGAGGTCTACAACACAGAAAAAGACCCTTCAGCCCATCAAGTCTGTGTCAGTCAAAACAAACACCTAGCTACTTTAGTCCCATTTTCCAGCATTTGCCCATAGCCTTGTATGCCTTGTCATCTCAGTATCAAATGCCCTACCCTATATCCTTGGCCAACAAGTCCTGTTTTGGATTCCCTGGGCATCGGGTACATCCTTCCTGCATTTACTTGGTCCAGTCATGGTAGAATTTTATAAGTTGCTTAGAGCTCCCCATCTCATTTTTCTAAACTTCAGTGAATATAGTCTGAACGGATCCAGTCTCTATTCATACGTCAGCCCTGCTATCCCAGGAATCTGTCTGGTAAACTTTTGTTGCACTCCATCCGTAGCCAGAACATCCCTTCTCAAATAAGGAGGCTAAAACTGCAGGAGTCTCAAGGTGTCATTCACTAAGGCCCTGTACAATTTTCTGCTCCCGAACTTTAATCCTCTTGCTTTGAAGGCCAATATGCCATTTGCCTTCTTCACTGCCTGCTGCAGCTGCATGTTTTCCTATACCAATCGGTGAACGTAGTCAACCAGGTCTTGTTGCACCTCCTCCTTTCTTAACCTATCATCATCCAAATAGGAATCTGCCTTCCTGTTTTTGCTAAAGTGAATAACCTAATTTATTCATGTTATATTTCACCTTTCATACATTTGCACACAACTTGTCCAAATCACACTGAAGCATCTCTGCATCCTTTCTCTCAGACAGCTGTGTGTAACCTGCAAACCTGGAGACATTACATTTAGTTACTTCATCTAAATCATTAATACATATTGTCAATAGCTGGGGTCCAAGCACTGATTGCTGAGTTACCCCTATAGTCACTGCCTGCCACTCTGTAAAGTATCCATTTATTCCAAATCCGTTTCCTGTCTGCCTATCCGCTCTCTAACCATGACAGCACACTACTCCCAATCCCATGTGTTTAATTTTACATGCTAATCTCTTATATGGGACCTTGTTGAAAGCCATCTGAAAGTCCACATACACAACATTCTTTGGCTGTCCCTTATTAACTCTACTAGTTACATCTTCAAACATTTCCATTTGTAAAATATGATTTCCCTTTTGTAAATCAAATCCATGCTAAACATCCAATTCTGTCACTGTTTTCTCAAGTGCTTGGTTATTAAATCTTATGATCTGTATTTCTCCACTACCAATACCAGGCTAATAAGTCTACATAAGATTGTTAAGGCTGGTTGGCTCACTGAGCTGGTTTCTTCTTTCGCTGACGTTTTGTTACCATGTTGGTAACAGCCTCCGTGCAGCCTCTGATCAAGCGTCAGCATGTTTTCCCGCCTGAGCTCGGCAAGCCAACCAACCCCAACACCCACAACCCAAGCTACAAATCTACTCCAAAACCTTAAGGTCTATATAAAATTGCCTATTTTCTCTCAACTCCTTGTTTAAGTAGTGGGGTTACATTAGCTACCCTACAATCTACAGGAACTGTTCTAAAATCTGTAGAATCTTAAAAGGTGACCCTCCAATGTTGAAGATTTTTGGCCTTTAATCCCATCAATTTCCCCAACACCAGTTCCCTACTAATACTGATTTCCTTCAGTTCCACTCAAGCTATGTTCCTCGGCATCTTTGCTATGTTAACTGTCATCCTTTGTGAAGACAGAGCCAAAATATGTATTTAATTGGTCTGCCATCTCTTTTCTCCATTATATCTTCCCTTGTTTCTAACTGTACGAGACCTACATTTGTCCTACCCAGTTGTTTTCTCTTCACATATCTATAGAAGCTTTTATAATCAGTTTGTATGTTCCTTATAAGGTTACACTCCTCTCCTTCATCCGTCCTCTTAAAATCATTTTACTGAAATTTAAATTGCTCCCAATTTTCAGATTTGCTGCTTTTTTTTGGCCTATTTGTATGCCCCTTTCTTGGATCTGATGCTATTCCTAATTTTCCTGTTAGCCATAGTCAGGCCACATTTCCCATTTTAATAATTTGAGGTGCGACCTTTTGTAATGTGAAGTTACTATCCATTGTATATCTTACCAGCTCCCCTCAAATATTCATGTACTTTTATTTTAATAAAAATGACTGAGTGGATGCAACTCATTACTGGGCTCCAGGAATTTGGAAAAAAAGCATCCCCTCCTATTCGAACATTTTAACCAACACATATAGAGTTATAGAGCTGTACCGCATGGAAACAGACTCTTTGGTCCAACTTGTCCATGCTGACCAGATATCCTAAATTAAGCTAGTTCATTTGCCAGCATTTGGCCCATATCCCTCTAAACTCTTCCTATTCATATACCCATCCAGGTGCCTTTTAAATGTTGTAACAGTACCAGCCTCCACCACTTCCTCTGGTAGCTCGTTCCATACTTGCACCACCCTCTGCACAAAAAGGTTGCTCCTCAGGTCCCTGTCAAATCCTTCCCCACTTACCTTAAACCTATACCCTCTAGTTTTGGAGTCCCCAACCCCGGGGAAAAGACCTTGGCTATTCACCCTATCCATGCCCCTCTTGATTTTATAAACTTCTGTAAAGTCATCCCTCAGCCTCTGACACTCCAGGGAAAATAGCCCCAGCCTCGCTCTATAGCTCAAATTGTCCAACCCTGGCAACATCCTTGTAAATCTTTTCTGAACCCTTTCAAGTTTCACAATATCCTTCCTATAAGCAGGGAGGCCAGAACTGCACGCAGTATTCCAAAACTGGCCTGACCCACGTCCTGTACAGCCGCAACATGAGATCCCCCTAATTCTTATACTCTATGCACTGACCAATAAAGGCAAGCATACGAAAATGCCTTCTTTACTATCCTGTCTACCGGTGACTCCACTTTCAAGGAACTATGAACCTGCAATCCAAAGGTCTTAGAAATCGGTGGTCATAAGTAATGTTTGACATGCTAGAAATTGTATCTTTCTGTTGATAATTTCCAGAAACATTGGGAGAAAAAAAAAAGGTGCCAACATTAATACTCACCATCGTAATAAAAATCAATACCATCAGGAAGTGGCTCATATTCAGGTGCAAACAGTGGACCTTGGTGTTCAAGAAACATCCATTTTACACCATCCTCATAGTGTTCTTCTTCCCACCTGATGACATTGAAGGAAAAACAAAATACAGAAGAGATCAATATCAAATATTTTGCAATGACTGATACTTAAATAGAAACAAAATACTACTGCTACACATTTCATTCTTTAAATCGAAGGTATCCTTCAAGATACCAGGGCAAAGTTAGTATTTTTTGTTAATTTTTATCTAGCAAAAGGTCGCAGGAAACAATAATTTTATGCTTGCACGAAAGTGGTCAACAATTTAATCCTTATAAAATGTTGGATCATGTAACAAACCCTTCCCCAGCCATTTTACATTATCTCAAGCACTCCATCTTCACATTGTCAACAGCTCAAACTTAAAGTGGGTCATTTCCAATCTTCAGTGAGTAGTGTGTCAACAGTTTGAGGCTCTTTTGATGTTACTGCCATTCAAGCTGCTTTTTATCCTCTCATTCCCCTCCTCCTCCTCCCTCCCCACCTACCTATCCCCTATGCAGCTGGAATCAATGTCAACTGAATGGACTGTTTTTACCTTTCCTTATGGAAGCACGTTCTAGATAATAACTCTATCCTTATAAAAATGTCGTTACCTGATGGATCTCTTGCCAAATATCTTAAATCTGGTCTCTTTGCTAACTGATTCTTCTGTGGAAGAACTTTCTCACTGCGTATCCTAACAGAGAGCTCTATTTTAAGCACATTAATTCAGAATAAATCACAATGGTTACAGTACTGAAGTCTATTCAGCCCATCATGTCTGCACCAGGTCGCCAAACAACTACTGTTCTACCTTCTTCGCATAATCTTACACATTCTTCTTCGAAATAACTGCCTAACACCTTTCTGAATGCCTCGAGTGAACGTGCTTCCACCACACACTGTGGCAGCGCAGGCTAGAGCATTAGCCTTGGTTCTGTATATTAAAACTCTCAATATCTGCTTAAAAACAATCCATTCGTCTCTAGTCTTTTTAAGTTAAACATATTTACAAGCCTGGGATACAACCTTCATTCACCAGTACTCTGACCAGTTTTCTAGAGAATCCAACTTCACAACTGTTTGATAACTGATCTTGTGGAAAGTAGAATTTTGTTTAATAGGTCTACAGTGCAATTAAAAGTTGTTTTTGTTAATAGCAGGCAGTTAATTAAATCTCCAGTTTTTTTTTAAACCTTGCTTTCAAATAAGGGAATGCTGAAAACTGCTTCTAAATATCTCTTTCCAATCCATCCTACATGTCTTTAATTCCTGTCAATTAATCTCACATACAAGAAAGATAAAACCTGTGATAATATTACATCACCTCAGACGAAATAACAGAGGGTTTGAGGATTAACCAAAATGAAAAACTCAAAACATTATTAAACACAAAAATTAGTAGATCATTTCCTTTGTGAAAGCAAGTCTCCTCTTTCCATGAATTCCTACCTTATCTCAGCTTATTAAAAAATTAAGGTTGCAGCCTACCTCTTCCCTGCAAACCGTACTCCCTGAACAATAGGAACAGTGCATCTTAAAGTCCTAACAATTGAATTGCTGCGCTTAAAGTTCAAATTGTTAAAGGCTATTTTTGTCACAGTAGCCCCACATCTGAACATAACAAAACATGTGCCAGAGATGAGTTTGCTTCAAAACATGTGACACTGAAAAAGAAACTGTCCTACATGAAAGACTTGATTCACTCATTTTTACTTCACTTGAACTTTCAACCTGGTAACACTTCCTGTGGTCCTGCTACATTTCCCTTCCCACAGACAACAAACTTCTGTACGTGGGAAATGATTCACATCAGCATAATCCTCATTTAAACCCGAGTGAGATTTTCAATTTTTATTTGCAAGAGCAAAGAGAAAAGCAAATAAAGATAACAGAAAAGAGAATGGACAATCCTCACTTATTAGTGATTGTGTCAAAGTAGGAAAATAGTTTTCAACTCTATGACAACTGAGTTAAGTTGAGCATTTTTGTTCCTTTATAAATCACCTCAGACAATTTCTTGCCAAAAAAGCTAATTTGGCAGGAATTCAAGGCAATAATGTTAAATTTATTTTCTTTTTGAAGAACTGATACAAAATCAAAAGACCTTGATTAATATTTCAAAATATTAATGTTTAACAGGTCCAATGTTAGTGGCATGATTGATTCAAGTTTATCAAATCAAACTGGCTGATGGAATTTTACACCAATTTTCATCACGAGCAGAGGTGTTTTTGCAGGGATATTTTCCCAGTGTCCTGCACAATATTTATCCTTTAAATGTACAAATCTAGCCCAATAATCCCCTCAACATTTGTTTCACTTGTCTGTGGAAGACTGCTGCATGCAAATTGGCTTGGCTTGCTTTTTGGGTTTAAAACAGAACTGGCTAGAAATTAGAGACAACAAGGTGCAGGGCTGGATGAACACAGCAGGTCAAGCAGCATCACAGGAGCAGAGAGGCTGACGTTTCGGGCCTAGACCCTTCATCAGAAAAGGGGGAGGGGAAGGGGGTTTTGAAATAAATAGGGAGAGAGTGGGAGGCGGATAGAAGAGGGATAGAGGAGAGGATAGGTGGAGAGGAAACAAACAGGTCGAAGAGGCGGGGATGAGGCCAGGAAAGGTGAGTGTAGGTAGGGAGTTAGGAAGGGGATAGGTCAGTCCAGGGAGGACGGACAGGTCAAGGGGGCGGGATGGGGTTGGTCGGTAGGAGATGGAGGTGCGGCTTGAGGTGGGAGGAGGGGATAGGTGGGAGGAAGAACAGGTTAGGGAGGCAGGGACGAGTTGGACTGGTTTTGGGATGCGGTGGGGGGAGGGGAGATTTTGAAACTTGCGAAATCCACATTGATACCATTGGGCTGCAGGGTTCCCAAGCGGAATATGAGTTGCTGTTCCTGCAACCTTCGGGTGGCATCGTTGTGGCACTGCAGGAGGCCCAGGATGGACATGTCGTCTGAGGAATGGGAGGGGGAGTTGAAATGGTTCACGACTGGGAGGTGCAGTTGTTTGTTGCGAACCGAGCGTAGGTGTTCTGCAAAGCGGTCCCCGAGTCTCCGCTTGGTTTCTCCGACGTAGAGGAAGCCACACCGGGTACAGCGGATGCAGTATACCACATTGGCAGATGTGCAGGTGAACATCTGCTTGATGTGGAAAGTCTTCTTGGGGCCTGGGATGGGGGTGAGGGAGGAGGTATGGGGGCAGGTGTAGCACTTCCTGCGGTTGCTTGTGGGCTACCCGCATGGAAAAAACTCTCCCCCGCAGAACGTGCAGCCCTCCGCTCCCTCCGCTCCAATCCCAACCTCACCATAAAACCCGCGGACAAGGGAGGTGCAGTTGTAGTATGGCGCACTGACCTCTACATCGCCGAGGCCGGACGCCAACTCTCCGACACCTCCTCCTACCGCCCCCTTGATCATGACCCCACCCCTGAGCACCAAACCATCATCTCGCAAACCATCCACAACCTCATCACCTCAGGTGACCTCCCACCCACGGCCTCCAACCTCATCGTTCCCCAACCTCGCACTGCCCGCTTCTATCTCCTTCCCAAAATCCACAAACCTGAATGCCCTGGTCGACCCATTGTCTCCGCCTGCTCCTGCCCCACCGAACTGATCTCCAACTATCTCGACTCCATTTTCTCCCCCTTGGTCCAGGAACTCCCTACCTATGTCCGTGACACCACCCACGCCCTCCACCTCCTCCAGAACTTCCAATTCCCCGGTCCCCAACACCTCATCTTTACCATGGACGTCCAGTCCCTCTACACCTGCATTCCCCATGCAGATGGCCTCAAGGCCCTCCGCTTCTTCCTGTCCCGCAGGCCCGACCAGTCCCCCTCCACTGACACCCTCATCCGCTTAGCCGAACTCGTCCTCACACTCAACAACTTCTCTTTCAATTCCTCCCACTTCCTACGGACAAAGGGGGTAGCCATGGGTACCCGCATGGGCCCAAGCTACGCCTGCCTCTTTGTAGGTTACGTGGAACAATCCCTCTTCCGTACCTACACTGGCCCCAAACCCCACCTCTTCCTCCGTTACATTGATGACTGTATCGGCGCCGCCTCGTGCTCCCACGAGGAGCTCAAACAGTTCATACACTTGACTAACACCTTCCACCCCAACCTTAAGTTTACCTGGACCATCTCTAACACCTCTCTCCCCTTCCTGGACCTCTCTGTCTCCATATCGGGCAACCACCTCGCAACCGATATTCATTTCAAGCCCACCGACTCCCACAGCTACCTAGAATACTCCTCCTCCCACCCACCTTCCTGCAAAAATGCTATCCCCTATTCCCAATTCCTTCGCCTCCGCCGCATCTGCTCCCAGGATGAGGCATTCCACTCCCGTACATCTCAGTTGTCCTCGTTTTTCAAGGACCGTAACTTCCCCTCCTCGGTGGTCGAGAACGCCCTCAACCGTGTCTCCCACATCTCCCGCACCTCATCCCTCACACCCCGTCCACGCAATAAAAACCAAAAAAGAATCCCCCTCGTCCTCACGTACCACCCCACCAACCTCCGGATCCAACGCATCATCCTCCGACACTTCCGCCATCTGCAATCCGACCCCACCACC